TCCCATGTGGTTCCCCCAGCACCACCAGGAGTAATTTCTGAGTGCAGAGTCAGAAGTAACCCCTGAGCATCATCAGCTGTGGCTTCCTATACAGCAAGCAAAAAACAAAAGTTTTCGGAAACTAGAACTAGGAAGACAGGGAAATTTGATTTTAAGAAGTGTTCGATGCTGTGGCCTTTGTTTGGTTAGCTGCAGTTCCCTCCCTGAGTCAGAGTCCATGCTCCTCTCCTCACCTGAGCTCTCCTCCAGTCCCCTGTGCCCAGCTGCTCACCAAGGGCACAGCCGGCTGACCTACAGCCTTGTGGGAGCAGCCTGGCTTCCTTTCTGTTAACTTAGATGTGAATTGTGCACCGCAGAGCACAAATGTTTTCCCAGCTCCCACGGGACCTTCCCGCAGTAGCTTCAATGAGAACAAACATAGAGATTTTCTGGGGAAGAGCCTGTGACCCACTTTCACCCTGGTCTGGGTGGAGGAAGGGAAGGAAAGGAAGGCCGGGAGGGGCAGCCTCTGGGAGAGAAGCCCCCTGGATGTCGACAGGAAAGGGTAGCAGCAGGTGCAGAGAAAGAGGAGCCAGGGAGGTGTCAGCACACAGCATGTTGGACGGGGCGGGCTCAGGCTACAGTATACACTGGGGCTAAAAGCATTGCTCATGCAGCTCCCCCAGCCAGTACTCCCCTTGCACCATGTGGTGGCCAGAGCTGAGGAGTCAGGCCTGGCACCTGCAGAGCAGGCCCTCGGCCCCTGACAGTCTTCAGGAATGTCACCTCTTTTGTCACATTTCGGCTGGAAGAGCAGGTATACAGCAGCAGCATCTCCTAGTTTGGGACCTAAGATGAGGTGCAGGTATTGTATGGGGAAGGCACACACCTGAGTTTCACCCTCATGCACTTCCGGTTATGTTCTTGTTTGTTTCCGGGTCGGGGGCTATGTCCAGAGGTGCCCAGGGCTCCCTCCTGACTCTGCGCTCAGGGACCTGTGTGTGTGACTGCGACATTGGCCACACACAAGATGAGCAAACACCCCTCCTGCTCTGCTGCCTCTTTGCCTCCTAGGATTTTGTGTTCTTGAGTTGATATTTTCAGCAGCTCTCCAGCCCTGTGGGGTCCCTGTCACTCTGTGAACCCCAGCAGGAACAGAAGCTGTCCTTTGAAGTTATCAACCCATGTCCCCCAGTCCAGCTCCTAGCAGATGGACCACAGAGGCCTGCCGTGAGGCCCTCTTCAGCGGCATTTGTCTCTGAGGGCTGTAGGTCCAGGGCCCGGGGCTGAGCTGCTCACCTCAGGAGTCTCCTCCCGGGATGCAGGGGCAGCTCCGGCCAGGCTGTGTGCCCCAGGGCTAGCGTGAGCTGAGTTCTAACCAAGGCCCTGGAATGGAGAGTATTGGGTGCTGGTGTTGGCTGTGCTGTGTTCTGGACTGCACCCTGTGATAATGGACACGGCAAGCTTTTGCTTTCCTGCAGCCTGTTCTTTGGTGGAAATTTCATGCACTGCGACAGCAGAGCAGGATTCTTGATCCTGCCACCCCTGGGGCTCAGGGAACATGTGGCATCTCTGGCTGCGTGCGTGGGACCACTGCACTCAGTGGCAGCAGGCGCTCGGCTGAGCCATGGTTGATGTTGTGCCTGATACTCTCAGTCTCTTGAGGGTTCAGTAACCCTGGAGCAACAGCCACTTTAGACTCTCCTGGTTAGCGGTGTTACTGACTCAAGGCCCTACTGCCCCTTGGCTTGTGTCTCGGGGACTCAGTTCCACCCTCTTTCCTCACTACCAGCATGTTGCTGTATTTCTACACCATGCTTTGCATGTTGTCCTTTCAGCTCCCTGCCTTCGCAGGGGTGCTGGAGTTGCCCTGACCTGGCTTTCCTCCCAGGGGCTCCCTAAGCACACAGCTGGCTGTCCGTCCTCTAGACTGGGTGCTGGTGTGGCTCCCAGAGGGCTTCTCTCCATGCGGGCGGGCTACTCTCACCGGCGTCTCTCCTGCTGTCTCGAAGAACCTGGCACTCTAAGTGAGGGTCGATGCTCAACAAAATGCATCCTAAATGATAGGTAAAACCAAGCCAATGTCAGTGAAGTTGTGATTTCTTTACCAAGAAGCGACGTACAAGTGTGGACCATACGTACAGGTTTGTCTGTCCCCGCAGCTGGGAGGGTAGAATGGGCTTTGAGTGGCTTTCCATTTGGTCCATTCATCCAGCAGACACCGATTTATTTATTTATTTTTTTGATGATTGAATCATTGCGAATGACACAGTTACGAAGTTACATGTGATTGAGTTTCAGACGTACAGTGTTCCAGCAGCCATCCCTTGTACCTATGTCCCAGGTTCCACTGCCTTCCACCAGCCTGCTTTTGTGACTGGCCCTTTGCCCTTTTCCCCCTGTGGGTGCAGTGGTTCACAGCACTGGCCTGGGGAGGGGAACGTACATCTCAGCGCTATCCATGGTCATGGTGACAGATGCCTCCACCAATCTCACCTTCCTTTGCCAGGGCTTCCCTTCTCCCCATGTTTCTCACTGTTTTTGTCGCCTTCAGCACAAGGACAGAAAAAATGCCAGCCCCGAGGGCGGGCAGCTAGGCCTGCTCTGGGGATGTGTCGGGGGCGGTGGAGAGAGCCTGCACAGGGCCATGCTTCTCTGCTGAGCACTGCTCCTGGATGAGGCTGTTCTGTCTGTAGCCGGGCGGGCGGCGCTTCCAGGGTGGTGTGGACAGGTAGAACATTGGCAGTGGCTTCTCCGGAGAGAGAAGTTTGCTCTGTGTTTAAAACCTTAGTGCTGAAATTGGCTCTGCCCTCACACCTAATTGGGCAGGGAGTTCCTTTTCAGTTTTGTCTTTGATTTTTATTTTGTTTTGTTTTTTGTTTGTTTTGATTTTGGGGTAGGGACCGGAGCCATAGCACAGCGTTAGGACATTTGCCTTGCACACGGCCGGCCCGGCCCAGCCGACCCGATTTCGAATCCTCCGCCCCTCTTGGAGAGCCTGGCAAGCTACCGAGAGTATCTCGCCCGCACGGCAAAGCCTGGCAAGCTACCCGTGACGTATTGGATATGCCAAACACAGTAACAACAAGTCTCATAATGAAGACGTTACTGGGCCTGCTCGAGCAAATCGATGAACAACGGGAGGACAGTGCTACAGTGCTACAGTGGTTTTGGGGTCTTAGCCTGGCTCTACTCAGGGCTCACTCCTCGCTGTGTGTTCAGGGGACAATTGGAGTGTCAGGGATCAAACCTGGGCCAGCTGTTTGCAAGGCAAGTGTCTTACCTACCATACTATCTCTCCGCCCTGTGTCTTTGATATTTATAAATAAAAATATAACTATTTGATTGTTATAAATAAAACTTCTAAATGACTATAGTTAAAAAAACTTTTTCTATTTAGTTTTTATGAATTAAAAAATTTATAACTTGATTGCTTTTGTGATCAGTTTTAATCAATAAATACAATCAAATAAACTTATTGTGTACCTTAAATTATAGATAGTTGATAGGTAGATGGTTGTGTGGATGGATAGGTAGCTTGATAGATGACTGGGTAGGCACATACTCCTGCCCACATGTCTACATACATATCTGCATATTCAATACAAACACATACATATACAACATAAATATACACACATACACAGAGATACATATATATAGATACATACATGCACATGTATATACACATATATATGTGCACACAGATACACTCCTATACGTGTCCAAACCTATAGGCTCTAGAAGGTTCCCAAAAGGAAAGTCTTATTTCTCTTAGGCCAAAGGTTTGCATTCAGTGCCGGCTGATCTCTCTGGGACATGTGTTTAGGAGAGCTCATTGTGACTGGCAGAGCTCCCAAGGGCCCTTCTAGGAAAGAAGCTTGAGCAACTCTGGTTTGTTGTTAGGGTCCCATCTCGATGCTACTCCAGTTCCTTATCTGGTTTTTTGCACCAGTTCCATTCTACTTCTGGTTCTATGTCTGATGTAGGAGAAAGAGGGGGACATTTTTGCCTTTGATGTCTGAGTCACTTCTTTGCAGCCCCTTCTTTTTCTCTGAGAACTTGAACCATCAAGTCCTAATGCCAAGGTGGCTCTGAACCCCGGCTCCTACCCCCTTCTACTACCAGTGGACTTCCTCCTCTGCTGTGGGCCCCTGGGAGAGTCGGAGGCTGTGGGAGAAGCTGTAGGATGTGCCTCGTGCCACTCCCTTCCTGCGACTGATAACTTGGTGACATGGAATTTTTCTGTTATTCTTATCAGTCCTCCAACATTTTCTAGGAGGAAGCCACATGTCTAGTTCTTAAAGTTTACTTTGTTTTGTTTGTTTTTGTTTGGGAACCACACCCGGACCAGACTTATGGACCACTCCTCAGTGCTGTGAGACCATGGGGAGTGGGGATCAGGCTAGGCTCAGCCACATGCGAGACAAGGGCCTTAACACCTGTGCTCTCCTCTCTGTGCCCTAAGAGCTAAGTTTTCTGTTTGTTTGGTTTTGATTTTGTTAAAGGGGGCAGGTTGTAACCCTCAGAACTGACAGAGTTGTTGTACCATAGACCGAACCTGAGTTTTATCAGGGAAAGTCCATAAGCTCTGCAGCCTGGGCCTCAGAACAAATCAGTTGTGCATGGGGCTGCTTCTCCGTCTGGTGTGATGGGATGGGGTGCTCTTTGCACCTCCAGGAACGTCTTCCCGGCAGGACCGTTTTGCATGAGCTGGAGATGAGGAGCATTGCAGGGACGTCACACAGCCTAGAGGGAGCTCAGGAGATGACAGGACGAAGTGTTTCCCTCATTGGTTGTCATAGTCACCTGACAAGGGACACTCTGCTCAAAGCTGCAGACAAGACTGACCTTTAGGTGTCCTGGGATCTATAAAAGTGCGACAGCTGCAGTTCAGTGTTGGTAGGACTGGGCCCTGCTGGACAGCGGGAGACTCAAAAGAGTTGACAGCTTTCCTCACCTAAGGGCCGCAGCCCTGGCTCGTGTCACCAAGGTCTCTCTGCTCTTGTTTCCTTTTCCAGAACGACGAGGCTGTCCTGAGAGTCTCGGTCACACTGTGGGGATGTCAGAGAGCCCCGTTGGACCAAACCCCGTCACGCTTCGGGCCGACCTGCCGCCAGTGCCCTCCTTCCAGCGGACCTTTGCATCGTCCTGCACCATTGCCAGCAGCGGCCCTGGCCAGTGCAGGGACAGGTAGGAGTGGGCTCCTGAGAGCTGGGGGAGGGGTGGCAGGGCGAGTCCTGTTTCAAGACTGCCCTGCGAATGCAAAGGAACATCTTCAAACATTACTGGAGCGATAGTGCAGTGGGCAGGGCCTTCTGTGTGGCTGACCCGAGTTCTATCCCTAACACCTCATGTGGTCCCCGAAGCCCGTCCTTGAGCACAGAGCCAGGAGTAAGCCCAGAGTACTGCCAGGTGTGGCCCCAAATCAACAACGCATAAAGTTCCTGACAGTGCTCCCTCACTGTTCACAGGCTCCCACATTCCTGGGCACTTAATTGGGTGACAGTGAAGTCTTGGGTTGGCGAGCCGAGGACAGAGCGTCCATGGGAGTGATGCTGAGCTGACATTAAGAAAGGTGCTAGGAAGTCATGGGGATTTGTTTCCTGAGTCACAGTGGCCAGGTGTGGAAGGGGCCCTGCCCAAGGCTGCAGATCGGGAATGAGTCGCAGGGCAGGGAACCAAGGCAGGGAACACAGTGTTTGGCCAAGCCTAGGACCCTGTCAGAGTCACATGAAGCATCTTCCTTGGTTTCGGGCCCATAGATGCACACACATACAGACACATACACACACCCGCATACACACACACACATGCACACACATACACACACCCACATACACATATACACACATGTGCGCACACACACATGCAAACACATACATGCACACATACATACACACACTCACATACACATACACATTCCTAGCACACAGGGCTGTGGTGAGGTACACTGGGGCACAGTTAGGAGAAGTGTGGTCCTGGAGAGTGGAAGGACAGAAGGACCTTTGCCAGGTGAAGAGCAAGGAGGAAGAGAATGGCAGATGGGAGGCTGCAAGAACCGAGTCCTGTGCAGGGGAGCCGGGCTCTGGGCTCCATTATCACAGGAATCACAGCACAACACTGCTGATGCTGAGTATTTCCCTGGGCTGGACCTTGTCTTACAGTTGATTTGTCTCTTGCACAGCTCTTCCTCAGCTGAACACCCATGGGTGGAGAACACTCCCTCAGCCACACTCAACCTGCTGGGAACCAGCCGGCCTGCAGGAGGACTCCTTGGTGCTAGCGAGTTCACCAACCCTGGCAAGGATGGTCCCGGACAACCCCACTTCCCACCTGCAGAGCTCCCGGTCTCTTTCCACAGTCAGGAGCTGCCCGTGGTGGAGCTTCCGGAAGTGCTGGGCACACAGAGTGGCCAGACCTCCCTGTCCTTTGGCACTGCCCCCCTGGGAAGTGCTCTCCCCTCCCGGGAGGACCCAGCAGCTCTGATGGCCAAGTCTCACGAAGGGTCCCAGCCTCCCAGACCCTCGAGGCCCGTCGTGCCGGCCACTGACAGTGGCTTCCTATCCCACGACTTTCTCATGCTGGTGCCTGGACACAGTGGCCAGCACAGTTCCGTTGTACAGGGCCAGGGGCTGACTCTGCCTGGGCAGCCTCCTCTCCCCGAGAAGAAGCGGGCCTCGGAGGGAGAACGTTCCCTCGGCTCCATCTCCCCCTCCTCTAGCGGTTTCTCCAGTCCCCACAGTGGCAGCACCATGAGCATCCCTTTCCCAAACATTCTTCCGGACTTTTCCAAGACTGCAGAGGCAGCAGCACCTTCTCCAGGTAGGTGGTGGGCATGAGCCACAGTGTTCATTTGTGCAGAAGGGTCCGTGGTACTTACTCAGTGGCCCTGGTGAGAGTCTCACTGTGTGCTGGGCTGAGGTCTGCAAGGAAACCCTGAGCCAGCAAGGGGTAGATTTTCACCTTGTGAGTCCAAAGCAAAATACAGGCCTAGAGCTTCGTGCCAGTGTATCTCAGTTTCTGCATGCAATTTATGTCAGATTCATTCCAAAAACAGAAAATGCAGATATCTGCAAGAGGTTTATTTTCTTTGCAGTCAGAATCATTGATATTTGAAGGTAACTTAAAAAAGGTAAATTCACTCAAATATTAGTGGGCTGGAGCGATAGCACAACGGTAGGGCATTTGCCTTGTGTGCAGCCAGCGCGGCTGCTCCAGGTTCGATTCCTCCACCCCTCTCGGAGAGCCCGGCAAGCTACCGAGAGTATCTCGCCCGCACGGCAAAGCCTTGCAAGCTCCCCGTGACGTATTCGATATGCCAAACGCAGTAACAACGAGTCTCAAAAATTGAGACGTTACTGGGCCCGCTCGAGCAAAATCGATGAACCACGGGAGGACAGTGGACAGTGGATTAATTATGAAAGATCTCAGATGTACAGACAAGAAACTGATTCCTGTTCTATAGTTCCATGCTTCCAGTGTTTGCTTCTGTCTGTCTGCATATTACCGAGGCAGAACCCCCGAGTACATTCTGCTCTCCTGCTGCTGTGCTCTGGTCTGTCACTGCCTCGAGCCAGCAATGCTGTGCTTCTCGTCACGGTCCTCTCATGTGGGGTGGGTCTCGGAAACTTTTGCTCCTCAGGAGCTGTGAGTCTGCAAGCCAGACACAGTGCGCAGTTAAAGTTTTTAAATTCTTTCTTGCAGATAATTCAGGTGACAAGCATCTGTCTGTGAATTTTGTCCAAGATACATCCAAATTCTGGTACAAAGCAGATATCTCCCGAGAACAAGGTAAGGGAATGGGAACATCAGAGCCTCCTCACTGCCACAGAAGGCTTAGGACAAGATTTCTGCCTTGTGACTGTCTCTGGGGGAGAGGCTGGGTTTTTTAAAGGTTAGGGGCAGCTGTGTCCTGGCAAGTACTAGGTTCCAGCTGTGGTTGGTGATCAGTAAGGGGTGGGAGCCATGAGGTTGCTGACATGTAGTGTGAGATTTCTGGAGGTGTTCGATAGCCAAGGTCTGCTGCATTACAAGCCAGATGGCAGATGGTGATGAGGAAACGACCCCAGTCTCCATCCAGCTCAAGGTACCAGAACCAAGGGTTGGGAGAAGGGACGACGTGCTCAAGCGAGGCCGGCAGGACTTCTGAATGTTCCTGGGGTCCAGCTATTTTCCTGTAGCAAAATCCATTGGATCTTTGTGAGAAACTGAGGGCTCCCCCCAGCCCCCCAGGACAGACCTCGGCAGAGATGGACGCAAAAGTGCAGGCCATTCTCTGAAGCAGCCCTCTGGGTCTCGTAAAGGAAGTGGGCAGGCAGCTGGCCAGTACCCAGCATGCCTGGGTGCTGATCTGAGAAAGGAATGAAGCAAGAACTAGCCATGGTCAGCATGCAGCTGGCTTCTATGATGCCTTGTTAGCTCAACTTTGGAAAAAAGTCATCTAGTGCTGTCCCTTCTCAGAAGTGCAGTTCACTGGCAGGAAAACACTGTCCAACTTTCTCACTGAAATGCATTGTTGATAGTAAAAATGGCAAGAATGTGTACTTCTTCCCAGGAGCTCAATGAGCTTATTGTCTTCTTATAGAGGGTGGGGAAGGAGCCCTTGGTGCAGACTGCGGCTCTGAATCTGCCTTTGTAGCTGTGGTGCTCCCATGCGGAGGGCCTCCGGGCTGCCACTTGCTACTTTCCCGCCCTTCCTGCCTTCACAAGAATCCCAGTGACTGTGGCCATTAACACAGGCCCCTCGACAGCTCACCCAGCTGCACAGGCTCTGAGTAAGGAGCTCCTGGGTGACCCCCTGATTCTGCTGCTGTGGCTTGGAGATGAGGGGACTGGACAAGCTCTGGAGGACGGAGCTGAGCTGCCTCTGGCTTCTGACATAGGCTGACTGTTGGGGATGCAGGTGACAGAGCTGGTGCCAGGCCGAGGGCTGAGTGTGGCAGGTGCACATGCCACCGGTGGGCTACATAGCAGTAGGAACTTCGATTGTCCTTTGCCTAGTCTCAGCCACACGTTTGAAACCATTTCTTGGGGAAGCCCCATGTCAGATGAACTAAGATGTACATCACTGTTGGTTTTTCGGTTGGGATCTACAAGCACATCTGCCATCGTCTGGATATTTCATGCCGCAACAGCTGCTGCCCAGGGCGCACAGCTTCCTATGTGAGAATGTGCCCATGGGTTTGGTTTTGTTCCTCATTTCTGGGAAAAGCTATAGTGCCATTTCAGGGATGGACTAAAAGGAATGTCATCCACAGAACCTTCGTTAGAGCATAATTGCTCCTGCGTCACGGTGGCAAGATTACTTTGAGATTTTGTTTCTGGGATTGACATAAAATACCTCAGGAGGTAAAAGAGGTCACAAAGTCAAATCAAAATGAAACCAGCTTGTCCCAGCTGCAGTCTCCAAGGGTCTGCTTCCCTTGCTGCCCCAGAAGGCACCTGTTTGAGCGAGCGAGAGGGACGAGATAGAACTATCCCAGTGGTCTTATCCCAGAGCCTGGAGATAGGGATGGAACTGGACTTGTGAAGACTGTGGGCTTCACTGCTGGGGCAGAGGCCCTGCCATTACCCTCTGTCTGTCTGTCTGTCTGTCTGTCTGTCTCTCTCTCTCTCTCTCTCTTTCTGTCCCCCGTCTCCCCCTTATCTACCTCCTTAACTGAAAGGTGGCATTTTCATGACTGTAAACTTGTGTTTTTTTTGTAGTTGAAATCCCTACCTTTTCTTTTTTTTAATCTATAAATGGTAAAAGTCTCTAGACTTTTGAGATCTGTTTCTGCTTCCAGAGAAAATTCTGGTCTGTTGAAAGTATCCAGCTTGGACTTTTACCCTGACCCCCTTATTTCATGTTATGGACCATTTATTGTCTAAAGCCAGTAGGATTGGCACCTTCACTTCTGTCCAGTGGGGGCTGGTGACAAATAGTGAGACATACAAATACACAGGGACACACACACACACACACACACACACACACACACCCCACAGACTGTCCAAATTTTAGGAACACCTGGGCAGCCCTGAGTGAGCCCACAGACTGCCCATTTATTCAGTACAATATTGCTCCCCCCCGGATCCCAGCACAAGGTATTAAGTTGAGAGACATTACGGACAGTTATTGAGCAAACCCAGACTCAGTGAGTCCATTCAGAGCAGAGCCAGAGTGCCAATCAGCCCACACATTAAAGTATTAAAGTGGCAAATGCTTGGGACTTGTTGCCCTTGTTTACAGTTCTTTTCTGAGTGCATTTTTTCTCCTTGTTTTTGTATTCCAAGACTTAAGCTGCATTACCCAGGTATTTTCTGACCCTGGGGATGCAGTTAGGGGCTGATTTTCTACAGTCTCCCAAGGCCTGGTGTAGAGATACATAACTCACAGTGTGACCTATGGGCGCAAGGAAACATGTAGCACTGTAGCACTGTCATCCCGTTGTTCATCGATTTGCTCAAGCGGGCACCAGTAACGTCTCCATCGTGAGACTTGTTGTTATTGTTTTTGGCATATTAAATATGCCACGGGGAGCTTGCCAGGCTCTGCTATGTGGGCAGGATACTCTCGGTAGCTTGCCTAGCTCTCTAGAAGGGATGGAGGAATCGAACCTGGGTCGGCTGTGTGCAAGGCAAACGCCCTACAAAAGGAAATTATATTTTAGGGGATTCTTTTAAAGATTTTTGTTTCATTTTTGTTTGGGGCTACACCAGTCTGTGATCTGGTGTTACTCCTGGCTCTGAGCTCAGGGATCACTCCTGGCAGTGCTTGGCGGACCATGTGGGGTGCCAGAGATGGAATCCAGGTTGACTGTGCGGAAGGTGAGCATCATAACTGCTGTCCTATACCTCTGTCCTTACCTAGATGGGGCCATTGTGTCCAGCTCAGCTTAGCCATCAGCTCTTGACTGACACATTACAGAGGTTCCCAGACTGACAGGAGAGGTTGCCAGCCACTAGAAAGAACAGCTGCATCTTTGTCATCCTGTGGCAAATCTTGGAATTTGTATTCAGTAACTCTAGGGGATGGGAGGTGTTTTTTTGATGAAATGTGTTTGGTGATTTCTTTCATTTTCTCCTGTTGAAGGGACGTAATCTAAAACCTCTTAAGAAAATGCCTAAAATGCCATGTGAGGACATGACCCCCCCCCCCCCCCCAACCAGGCCACAGCAGGGGCAGCAGAGAAGCTAGTGTGGTCTGGCTCCTGGACCTGCGTGTCATTGTTTGTGTTCCAGAGGGCTCCATGGTGAAGGAAGAGCTGGCTAAAGAGACTAGTGTCTCAGATCTGAAGAAGGGCCTTCATGCACTTCCCCTTTCATACCCAGACCCCTCCTTCGGGACCCCACCCCCCACTCCAACCCCCCTTCTGCCTCATTGCACATGTAGAAGGATTCTACTCAACCAGACTGCTCACCCAGCTGTACTGGACCCTGGCTGGCTCCTTCTTACCATTTGCATAAAGAGAAAGGGCATCTCATGACATTTTCCTCAGTAGGGTCTTGCATCTTGCAAATACTCAACATACCCTTCCTCCCCTTCTTTCAGCCATTGCCATGCTGAGGGACAAGGAACCTGGCTCATTCATCGTCAGGGACAGCCACTCCTTCCGAGGTGCCTACGGCCTGGCCATGAAGGTGGCCACTCCACCCCCGTCAGTCCTGCAACTGAACAAGAAAGGTAGGCATCGGTGTTGATCTGATGGTCTATTGGGCTAACCTCTGCCGAGTGCCAGTGTGCTCTCAGATGATTTAGCACTATACTATCTTTACTCATTTTCTTCTTAGTATTTTTTTTAGGCATACTTCACTAAGGACTGCCCTGGTTCAAGAAAGAATGTTAATTATTTGGAATTTTTATTTTATTGATTGAATTAACCCATCTACTAATAGAAATCAGGTTTCCTCTAAGGCCTTTGACCGCAGCCTGCTTTACTTCCCACTGGTATCTACCCCTCATCGGTCCCCCCTCCCCCCATGTTTTCTTAGTGTCTCTCCAGTGATGCAAATAGAGAGCATTCATATTTTCTTGTAGACATACTATACTTTGTACACTTCTTGCATCTCCACTCAGCACTTCAGTGGGTTAAAAGTGATCCTGGAGATTAGGGCTGAGGCTTGAGTTGAATCACACATGTGAGAGCCTGGGTTCAGTCCTGGCACGAGGGTGCACCCTCCAGACCACTGGTGTCACCTCCACAATAATATGAACGGTATCAGAAAGGCAAGTGAATCACCAGATGATTGCTTGTCAAGGGAGAGGAGAGTGTTTTCCCCTCCTTTGTGTTAACACTGCAGAATATCCACCAAATTATATATAGATATAGACCAGTTACCTACCAGTTACCTACTTACTGATTCTTAACACTTTTTATCATGCAACATAGCTACACACAGCCCATTTGCTCTGCCGACATGAACAGCTCAGTATGGCTAGGAAGCAGACATGTGTTGGCCGCCACCCCTTTTCAGAAAATCCCTGCTTGCTTTTTCTTTTGGTATCGGAACCCACCTCCACTGTTTATTTTATCCAAAAGATCCCAGAGTTACCTAATTGGGAATAAAAAAGAAAAATCAGCAGTTCATGCTAACACCACCAGTTTCGATGTGATATCTCCATGTCTTGTCACAGTGACAAACTTGTCCCCAACAACACCACTGTGCTACTCATTTCCTGTCCCAGTATACACAAAATGTGCTCATTTCCATTGAGGACAAGAGGCCTACTCAGTGAATTGCAGGCTTTATTCAGCATCATATGGGTGTTTTATTATAGATTTGGGGGAGAGATTGGGTTATACCTCACAGTGCTCTGTGCTCAGGAGTGAGCCCTAGTGGTAATTGGGAATCTTATACATGACAGGATCAAACCAAGGTCAGCCCTAGGCAAGACAAGGCCATTCCCTTCTTCGGTGTCTCTGGCCTCATTCTCTGTTTAAAATGGTACGTTGTTCTTTGTCTCTTAATCTCGTAATTGCCAAGTTCCTGCCCTGTGGTTTGAATAAACTGACTTCTGTGTATCCACTCTTGGTGGTAGGTTAATCTCACCTTTTCTGCCCTTCTTTACCACTGACAGAAAAGGGGAAAGATTCTTTATAATGACAGGAAAGGTGGAAGGTTTTTCACACTCTTGGTCCCCGATCCCTACAGGATGATGTTGGACCTGAGCCTGAGATCACTGTTCTCCTCAGAAGGCCGTTGGGTTCACAGGAGTAGGGGACCCAATGAACAGGTTTCCAAATCATTTTGGTTAGGGAGCTAATTGACCTCCCTCCCACTGCCTTTACTCATGTTTCTTGCCCAGCTCCTGAGAGGGTTTATCTAAGTCTTGGATGAACTTCTCCAAAGTTTCTTGGAGAAAATCCCCTTGGACTTAGACCTTAGAGAATGAGGTTTGTTGTTAAAGTAGGCACTAGCAGGTTTTTTTTTTCAGGAATAGAAAAGGTCATTTTGTCATAGTAGTGTTGTATTCTAAATGGATGGGGTGAGTGGTGAGGTTGGGAAGGAACCCGGGGCTCAGACCCCAGATCTGTAGATTTTGCATGCTAAACAGGAGAAGATTTTGTGTAGGTCAGATAGAACTGGTAAGCTCTCAGAAGCTGGCTTAGCGTGTCGACTTCCCCCATGGGAAGCTCCACCAACACCTGACTGAGTAAGGGCTTCAGTGGCTGAAATGTGACTCACTCTTACTGTGAAGAAGGATCTAAGGCATTTTCCCGAGCATTTGATCTGCTTGGGAACAATCTGAATGACAAGGAAAATCTCTGGCTGGGGGGTATCTATCAGTAGATGGGTGGGGGGGGAGCGCCTCTCTGGCTCCTTAGCTTCAGTTCACTTTAAAAAAAACAGCAGATTTTTTGAGTTTGTTTGTTTTGTTTTTGCTTGAGGGGCCAGAGTGATGGTACAGCAGTTAGGACCTTTGCTTTGCATGTGTCCACCCTAGGTTCAGTGCCATGTGTCCCATGTAGTCCCCAGAGCCCACCAGGAAAGGGACACCTGAGCACAGGAGTAAGCCCTGAGTACCGCCAGGTCAGGCCTCCCTTTCTCTTTTTTCCTTTTTCTTTTTTTCATCATCTTTTTGAAGATATGGAAGATGGTGGCTGAAGGTTCTTCTTAACTCCAGTCGGGCATCCGCCACTCAGCCTGGCTGTCCCGCAGTATTAAGATAAAGGTCACTAAACAGGCTTTTAGAATTGGAGGTTTCAGGACGTGCCAGAGACCAAGTCGGCCTTATTTCGTTGTCCCTGGATTTCGCATTCAGATTTAACAGTGCAAGGACAGATTTGAGCGGGATATGACAGGAGAGAAGCGAGTGGATAAGCCACCACCTTCCTCTGAATCCAGGAAACAGCACAGGTACAGAGCTCAGCATTTTCTCCACAGGGACCAGCCTCTGGGCCCCCCGACTCCCTACCATCACTGGGGTCCAGACCCTGTTTCCTGGCCCATGATAGCAGAGGGGCTACTTACCTCCCTCATCCCAATGACAGAGAGCTCTTTTCCCCATTTTTATTTTTTTTCAGCCTCTTACGGAATCTGGTCATTTCCTGTTAGGGCAAGAGTTCTGTTCTTGAGAAATAGAGCTATTTTGTGTTACTGTTGTTTATACTTGTCTTTGGGAGCCTACTTTGGGTAGTGTAAACCAAATCCACTCGAGTGAGTCCTAGGTCAGGAGATTTCCAACTCAGGAATGCTGAGGGTCCAGGCAGACAGAGGGAAGGGTCTGTCTGACGTGTTACCTGCACCATCACCTGCTCTCCTCTGTCTGTGTCTGCCACTTCCCTCTCGGCACTGCACTGCCTGGCCTCTCTGGGCTCTGAGCACTGTGGACAGGCACACAGTGCGTGGCGTCAGCTGCATGGTGGCTACAGACCGCTGGGCTTGCTCTGACAGGGGCTCCTGGGTATCACAGTCTGAGCCTTCTAGACTCCACTCTTGAAGGGGGTGGAACTGAGAACCGCATTCCTCTTGGCTGCCAGCTCCTTCCCTTTGCTAAAAGTCTCTTGGGAGCATGCTTGAGAATGTGTTGGGTGGTGCCCAGTGGCTGCCCTGAAGCTCAGCTGCTGTTCCTTAACAGTGCTCTGCCCAGAGCTGCTTCACATCAACCGTTCCGGTTTCTTATTCTTCACTCTCCTTTTCTTCTCCATACTTTTATTATTAAAAATAAAAGTAATTTTTTCTTTCTTAAATCTCTTACCACAGGTGGAGATTTGGCCAATGAACTTGTTCGGCACTTTTTGATTGAGTGCACCCCAAAGGGTGTGCGGTTGAAAGGGTGTTCCAATGAGCCATATTTCGGTGAGTCGCAAGTTTGCACAGATCTTCTTTGCATGCAAGTGTGGACTATTTATACTCTCCCTGGGGAGAGCTGTTCCCCTCCTGCTGCTTCACTCCTGGCATTTACTTATATTTCCCAAATCTTAAATTTCTCTAATCTGGATTATCAGTGACCTAAAATAAAATTAACTGGTTCTGAATTTGTTCTGGAAAGCTAAAACACACCAAAAGAACCCTACTGGAAGTGGAAATTCAGTTTGGGTCCTGCCATCCTGAACCTCCTCTCCCCTCCCATTCCCCCTGAAAATGGGGTCTTCCTGACCTTGCTTGCTTAGCTGGAAGTCTACTTGAGCTGCCCAGGTGAGACAGGTACTAATGTCAGTGAGATAGGGCTGATACATTTCAGTACCATAAACCATGGAAACACTTTACTGAGCCTATGTGGTAAAAGTTGCAACTGTCTTGCTCTCAACTTCCCTAGTTTCAAATTATGCAAGGTCATTATGAATTAAGACATGAGGGTTTTTACCCTCCATGTCATTGAGACTAAAGATATCTTCAAAGAGGACACTCCACTGGCCAACCAAGTGGGAAGCAGACATAAGCAGATGGGACTGCCTCAAACTGAGAAGCTTCTGTACCTCAAGAAGACACAGTGAACGGAATTCAAAGACAATTAACAGAATGGGAAAGGACATTCACCCAATACACAGTTGATAAAAGGTTGATATCAAGGACTTACAAGGCACTGCTTGAACTCTACAAAAAGAAAACATTGAACCCCATCAGAAAATGGGGCAATAAAATGAACAGAAACTTTCTCAAAGAAGAAATTCGAATGGCCAAAAGGCACATGAAAAATGCTCTTAATCACTAATCATCAGGGAGATGCAGATCAAAACAACAGTAAGATATCACCTCACATCATGGAGACTGGCCCACATCCAGAAGAACAAAAGCAACCAGTGTTGCCGCGGATGTGGGGAAAGGGACTCTTCTTCACTGCAGGTGGGAATGCCGACTGATTCAGCTGTTTTGGAAAATAATATGAACGATTCTCAAAAGATTAGAAATTGAGCTCCCAGAGAGAAAAACCTAATAAACCGAATCAGAAATGAAAAGGAGGACATTACAACAGAAACTACAGAAAGTCAAAGGACCCTCAGGGAGTACTTTGAGATGCTTTATGCCACGAAACATAAAAACCTCGAGGAAATAGATAAATTCCTAGATTCCTATAGCCTCCCAAGATTGAAACCAAAGAAGACCTGAAATACCTGAACAGATCTATCACCATAAAGGAAATTGAAACAGTAATAAAAAGTCTCCCCATGCACAAAAGTCTTGGCCCAGATGGATTCACTGGTGAATTCTTCCAAATCTTTAAAGGGGACTTACTCCCAATCCTCTTTAAGCTTTTCCACAATATTGAAAGATCAAAACACTTCTGAACAGTTTCTACCAAGCAAATATCACCCTGATACCAAAAGCAGACAGAGATACCACAAAGAAAGAGAATTACAGGCCGATATCCCTGATGAACACAGTTGCAAAGATCCTCAACAAACTATTAGCAAATAGAATCCAATGACTCATCAAAAAGATCATACACCATGACCAAGTAGGATTCATCCCAGGGATGCAAGGATGGTTTAACATTCAGAAATCAATCAACATAATCCATCATATCAACAAAAGAAAAGATAAAAAGCATATGATCATATCTATTGATGCAGAGAAAGCATTTGACAAGTTCCAGCACCCGTTTATGATAAAAACCCTCACCAAAATGGGTATAGAAGGGACTTTCCTCAATATAGTTAAAGCCATCTAACACAAACCTATGATAAGCATCATCCTCAATGGGAAAAAACTAAGAGCCTTCCCTCTAAATCAGGGATGAGACAAGGATGCCCACTTTCTCCACTGCTGTTCAATATAGTACTGGAAGTACTTGCCATAGCGGTTAGGCAAGAAAAAGATATTAAGGGCATTCAGGTGGGAAGAGAAGGAAATCAAGCTCTCACTATTCACAGATGATATGATACTATATTTAGAGAACCTTATAACCTCTACCAAGAAACTCCTAGAAACAATAGACTTGTATAGTAAAGTTGCAGGCTATAAAATCAATTCCCAAATGTCCATGGTCTTCCTATATGCAAAAAGTGAGAGAGAAGAAAGTGACATGAAAAAAAACAATCCTGTTCACAATTGTACCCCAGAAAATCAAGTACCTAGGAATCAGCTTAACTAAGGAAGTAAAGGACCTGTACAAAGAAAACTACAAAACGCTACTTCAGGAACTAAAAGAGGACACGAGAAAATGGAAAGATATCCCCTGCTCATGGATCGAGAGAATTAGCATTGTCAAAATGGCAATTCTTTCCAAAGCATTGTACAAATTCAATGCGATCCTTAAAAGGATACCCATGATATTCTTCAAAGAAATGGAGCAAACACTTCTGAAATTCATCTGGAACAATAAGCCCCCACGAATAGCTAAAGCAATTCTTGGGAAAAAGAAAATGGGAGGGATCAACCCCCCCTAACTTCAAACTCTACTACAAAGCAGTAATAATTAAAACAGCATGGGACTGGAACAAAGGCAGAGCTGCTGACCAGTGGAACAGGGTTGAATATACTGACATCTCCCCTCAAACATATGATCATCTAATCTTTGATAAAGGAGCAAGAAATGTGAAGTGGAGTAAGGAAAACCTCTTTAACAAATTGTGCTGGTAAAACTGGACGGCTGCATGCAAAAAAAGTGGGCTCAGATCTCTGCTTAACACCATGTACAAAAGATCAAAATAGATTAAAGACCTCAACATCAGACCGGAATCCATAAGGTACATTGAAGAAAAAGTTGGCAAAACCCTCCATGACATTGAGGCTAATGGTATCTTCAAAGATGTCACGCCACTGGCTGAGCAAGTGAAAACAGAGATAGACAAATGGGACTGTCTTAAACTAAGAAGCTTCTGCACCTCAAAAGAAACAATGTCCAAAATACAAAGACAGTCTACAGAATGGGAAAGGATATTCGCTGAATAAAAAGGGGGGAGGGGAATTAAATAAATAAAATTTTAAAAAGAGAAATTGCACTCCCATTTGACCCAGAAATACCACTCCTGGGAATATATCCCAGAGAGGCAAAAAAGTATCATCGAAATGATATCTGCACTTGTATATTCATTGCAGCACTGTTTACAATAGCCAGAATCTGGAAAAAATCTGAGTGCCAAGAACAGATGACTGTCTAAAAAGACGCTGGTATATCTACACAAAGGAATACTGTGCACTTAAGTTTTTTGTAATCTCCTTTATCTGCTCTTAAGTTACTTTGTTGAGCTTGTTGCTTCATTGAAAATTTACTCAAATTTCCACAACAGTGAAGCATGTTAATTGCTCAAAGTATGTGTGTCACACTCTGTGGCCTTCCTTTGGCAGGTAGATTAGCTAAGCCATACAGCATTTGGAGCCTTGTTAACACTTGTTTGTTGTTTCTCACTTTGCAGGTAGCCTGACAGCTTTGGTCTGTCAGCATTCCATTACAGCCTTGGCTTTGCCCTGCAAACTGCTCATTCCAGACAGAGGTATGTAGTCACCTCGCCAGTGCATCAGTCTCATTGGAATCGGGCAGCTACACAGGTCAACTGAGAAATTCTTGATTCCAAGTTCTTTCTATTGTGTGCTCTAGGTAAAGCATAAAGGATGCTAGTCCTTATCCCCAGGTCAAGGAAAGGAAACCTGGGGTGGGGGGTGGGGGGCGGGGGGAACAGTCATATTACTTACATTATGGACTTTGCTGAATGGTTTCCATGGAGTAGAATTTCTGTAGCTCATAAATAAGGGCCCAGGGGCTGGAGTGATAGCACAGTGGGTAGGGCTTTTGCCTTGCATGCGGCCGACCCGGGTTCAATTCCCAGCATCCCATGTGGTCCCCCGAGCACCGCCAGGAGTAATTCCTGAGCCCATGAGCCAGGAGTAACCCCTGGCCATCGCTGGGTGTGATCCAAAAAAAAGCAAAAATAAATAAATAAATAAGTTTTTTTAAAAAAAAATAAGGGCCCATAGAGCTAAAGTTGAAGTTAAAGCCTTACATGCAAATGTGGCCACAGCCATGGTTTAAATCCTGGCACCACATATGCCCCCACCACCTCCAGGTATGCCCCTGAGCAAACAGCCAGGTGGGCTCCTAACTACAGTGCTTGGAGTAGCTGCTGAGTACTGCTAAGTATGACAAAAAGCCAACAGAGCAGAATTCTAAACTAAGAGCACTTCAGAATCAGTTCCATTTCATTGTTAGGGTTCTACCAGATATGCAGTGTTTGCATTGTTGAGTTTAGATGTTGGATGAACTGTTCTCTTCATGTTGGTTTGACAGTACCCATTATTGAAACCATGCTACAGCAGACAGTGATGTCTCTGAATGTCCCAGCTTCTCTAGACAGCCTCAGTTTCACTTGATTAGATTGTAGTACCAAAAGATGATTAATTAAAATAACAGAGAAATGTGATTTACAATTTGATTTTTATTTATTTATTTATTTTCCTTTTCTGGGTCACATCCAGCAATGCTCAGAGGTCACTCCTGGCTTTGCACTCAGGAATTACTCCTGGCAGTGCTCAGGGAACCATATGGGATGCCAGGGATCAAACCCAGGTCGGCCGCGTGCAAGGCAAACGCCCTACCTGCTGTGCTATGGCTCTAGCCCCATACAGTTTGACTTTTAATATAAATTAATATTGATCAGAGAGATACCGTGCTAGATGGTGTGATCCTACTTTTGCCCAGACTGGATGCCAGTTTCTCTGGTTCAGCTGTGGTTGGCCTGGAGAAAAAGGCCCAGCTCTGCAGACCTGTCAGCCCCGTCTGAGTACCCTGTCACTGGTGTCTCTCATGGCCCTGAAGATTCCTTCTCCAAGCTAGACTCATTTCCACGTTTTCTTGCTCTTTTCTGCAGACCCTTTAGAGGAGATCGCGGAAAGCTCACCTCAAACAGCAGCCAACTCGGCAGCTGAGCTGCTGAAGCAGGGAGCAGGTAAGTCCTCAGCTTCATTCTCTCTTCCTGCTGGTCCCAGGGCAGAGGTGCGGCCTCTCATCTCAAGTCTTGGGGTTTCTTTTCCAAGTTGGGTATTTGAAGGCGGCTCCTTTTTATAGAAAGCTCAGCAGGGCTGTGTGGGGCACCAAGTGTCAGGCAGAGACAGAACCCAGACTCCACAGCCTGTAAATAGCCCGTTGATTCACACAAGACCAATTCAGTTAAAGCAGTGTCAACTCCTGTATTGTCTGGGGGAAATAAGACAGGATGTGGGCAATTGTCTCTCCAGCTATAAAGGTGTATGAGAGAGATGATTGATTCACAGATTCACTGGATTCACAGATTCACTGGATTCACAGATTCACTGGAACACAGTTTTGACCAGCAACTCAGCATGATGTGGGGACCAGAGAACAGGTCTCTATGGCATTTTGAAATAATTTTAATGGAGTGTATTTTTCAGAATAGTGTAAGTTAACACCAGAATTGAGAGAAAGGTGTGCAGAAGTTTCCAAGGCACCTTCTGTCTCTATATATGTACAACTTCTTCCATTATTGTATACTAAGATAATCTTACATCATGTACAGTTTCTGACTCACCCATTAAAAATATGCTTTAATTTTGTAAAAAACTGCCAAACTGTCTTCCAAAATGACTGTACAGTTTTTCATTTCTACCAATAGCAATCGTTCCTCTTACTCCAAATCCTCACCAGCATTTTATGTTGTCTGTTCTGGATTTTTGTCTTTCTAGTACGTCTGTAGAATTGTCTCACTGCTAATTTGCAGTTTCTTGTTAATCAGGTGCTTTTCATATGCTTATTTGTTGTTTCTATGTCTTTGTAAGACATCTGTTTAAGTCTTTAGTCTCTTTTCAAATAAGATTGTGGGGCGCTAGCACAGCGGGTAAGGCGTTTGCCTTGCACGCAACTGACCTGCGTTCAATTCCTCCGTCTCTCTCAGAGAACCCGGCAAGCTACCGAGAGTATCTCACCCACACAGCAAAGCCTGGCAAGCTCCCCTTGACGTATCTGATATGCCATAAACAGTAACAACAAGTCTCACAATTTGTTGTGAGACGTTGCTGGTACCCGCTCGAGCAAATCGATGAACAACGGGAGGACAGTGCTACAGTTTTGTTATTAACTTTTGCAAGTTCTTTGTACATTTTATATGCACTGTAGCACTGTCTTCCCATTGTTCATCGATTTGCTCGGCCCAGTAACGTCTCCATCGTGAGACTTGTTGTTACTGTGTTTGGCATATCCAATATGTCACCGGGAGCTTGCCAACCTTTGTTGTGAGGGTGAGATACTCTTGGGAGCTTGCCGGGCTCTCCGAGAGGGGTGAAGGAATCAAACCCGGCTTGGCCAGGCCGGCTGCGTGCAAGGCAAATGCCCTACTGCTGTGCTAAAAAAAAAAAAAAGTATATACATTAATGTTGTGATTGATCAGTCAGTCAGAGGCTCAGAGAAAAGTCAGGCCAGAGGAATGAATGATGAAGTACAGAGGATATGAGTCCTTAGATTAATTTTTTTGTCTGCGTATGTTGACAAATGTATTAATGACATCACCACCACCAAAGTATCCCAGACCCTTCACCAGAACGTGTTACTTCCTTTCGTTTCATCATTCCCCTCTGGCTGTGGCTTCCTAGCTTGATATTCTCAATCCTGCCACACAGAGCAAGGGTTTTATATCATTTGATATTGTCACTTCCATTGTTTGGTCTCACTTTACACTACAGACGAGTGAGATTATTCACGATTGTCCTCCCTCTGACTAACTTCATGTACCGTGCCTTTCAGTTTCATTAAGTCGCAGTGAACTGCCTGATCTCACCTTTTCTTGTGACTGCATAGTACTTACTGTGTAAATATACCGCAACTTCTTTATTCATTTCATTCTTCATCCAAACATCTGTTGTTGGACATTTGGAGTGTTTCCATGTCCTGGTTATTGTACTTAACATGGCAGTAAACTTAGATGTGAACATATTCTTTGAATGAATGCTTGTGTGCATGGAGTGTGTGTATGTGTGTGTGTGTGTGTGTGTGTGTGTGTGTGTGTGTGTGTGTGTGTGTGTGTAGGAAGATGCCAAGAAATGGAATCACTGGGTCATAGGGCAAAATCTCTGTATGGTTTTCCGTAGAGGCTGAACCATACAAAATTTCCACCAACAGTGGATGGAGGTTCCTTTTTCCTCCACATCCCTGCCAACATTGTTTTTATTTACTCTTTTTGATGTGTGGCGATCTCACTGGTATGATGATACCTCATTGATGTTGTCATTTGCATTTCTCTAATAATTAAGTGGCAGTAAGCACTTTCTCTGGTGTCTGCTGATCATCCACGTGGCCTTGTGTGGAAATGTTTGTTCATTTCCTCTCCCCGTTTTTTGTGAGTTTTTTTGTGGCTGAGCTTTGTGAGCACTTTCATGGATCTTGAATATTAGCCCCTTATCTGAAGTTTGGTGTACAGATTTTTCCTCCTGGTCAGTAGTATCTGAGAAAGTGGTGATTCTAAGAATTCATCCACTTCTGTTTCTTAGGTCTACTGGCTTACACCTGCTTGTTGCAGTAACCTTAACATCTTGTGTATTTCTGAGGTGTCTCTTGGCACCTTTCGTCTCTGTCTCTGATCCAATTTATGTTTCTCTCTCTTTTCTTTTCCTTCCAAGTACTAACCAGGCCTGACCCTGCTTAGCTTCTGAGATCAGACGAGATCGGGCGCGTTCAGGGAGGGCATTTGCCTTGCGCGCAGTCAACATTGCCGACCTGAGTTTGATTCCTCCGCCCCTCTCAGAGAGCCTGGCAAGCTACCGAGAGTATCTCGCCCGCACGTCAGAGCCTGGCAAGCTCCCCGTGACGTATTCGATATGCCAAACACAGTAACAACAAAATCTCCATTGGAGACGTTACTGGGCCCGCTCGAGCAAATCGATGATCAACGGAGGGTCTTTTTTACTTACTTACTTCTTTTCCTTGTGAATCGAGCTCAGATTTTGTCAGTCTTATTTACTTTTTTTTTTAAAGCTCCTGGTTTCATTTGCCATTTGTATGTTTTCTTTTTTTCTTTCTTTTTTTAAATTTTTTTTTATTACTGAAACACCATGAGGTACAGTTATAGACTTACAAATTTTTGTGCTTGGGTTTCAGTTATACAATGATCAGGTACCCATCCCTCCACCAGCGCCCATCCTCCACCACCACGGGTCCCAGCATCCCTCCCACCCCCCCCATCCCTCCCATCCCACCTTGCCTCTGTGGCAGGGCATTCCCCCTTGTTCTCTCTCTCTTCTTTTGGGTCCTGTGTTTTGCAAGAGAGGCTTTGAGTGGCAATCCTGTCTATAGTCTACTTTCAGCATGCTACTCCCACCCTGGGAGAATCCTCACAACCCCCTTTATTTGGTGCTCTCTTCTCTATCTGAGCTTCCTTTTCCCTTAGCACATGTGGCTGGCCTCCAAGTCATGCAGCAAAATTCCTGGTACTAATCTCAGCCACTCCTGGGTGTTAGTCTCCCATTTTGTTGCTTTATGTTCCCCAGATGAATGCAATCTTTCTGTGTCTATCCCGCTCTTTCTGACTCATTTCGCTTAACATGATACTTTCCATGTAGTACCACTTGTATGTAAATTTCATGACTTCATCTTTTCTAACAGCTACATAGTACTCCATTGTGTAAATGTACCAAAGTTTCTTTAACCAGTCATCTGTTCTTGGGCACACAGGTTTTTTCCAGATTTGGGCTATTGTAAAGAGTGCTGCAATGAACAAACAATTGCAGATGTCACTTGTATGTTTTCTTGATTTCTGTGTGATTGATCAGATTGACTTATTTCCTTCCGGCTACTTAATTGGGGATTGACTTGCTCTTTTTTTCAGTTTCTCAAACTGTGAGATTCGTTTATTGATTAGAGGTTTTCAGTGTTTCCTGAGATAAGCCTATTTTGCTGTGAACTTCCCCATGAATACTGCCTTTGCTTCTCCCATAAGTCTGACACTTTGTGTCTTCCTTCTAGTTTAGGAATCTTTTTTTCCGGTTTTACTTTGATGTCCCCTTTCACCCAGTGGTAGTTTAACAGTATGTTGTTAAGTTTCCAAATGTTGGATATTTCCCCTATTTTTTTTTGTGATTAATTTTTATTTTCATGGCATTGTGTTCTGGAAAGATACTTGATATGATTTCTAGTTTAATGACCTTATGGATCCTTGAATTATGTGTCACCAAGTGGCTTATTCTGAGAATGTTCCATGTACACTGAAGAAGAATGTGTATTCAGCTGTTTGGATTTGTCTATTAATCCAAGTTCTTCACATTCCTCACTTAGAGCTATTGTTTTCTTTCTAGTGATCTAGTTGATTTGTTTAAAATCTCCCAGTAATTCTACATTGCTTTCTATGTGTATCCTCAGTTCTATTAGCTGTTGCTTTATAAATTTTCGGGTCTTCATTTGGTGCATTTATATTGATCAGAATTAAGCCCTTGATTGGTTAATCCCTGAACCACACTATGTAATGTCCAGCCCTATCTCTAATTACTTTCTTAACTTGAATGTCTAATACAAATGTGTCTTTACTAATTTCCATCCACCATTTGTATGATTGTTTTCTGTCCTTTCACTCTAAGACTGTTAATTGTGAGAATTCAATTTTATCTTTTGTTAACATTTTGACGTGTAATTTTGTTTTTTGATCCATCCAGTTACTTTATGCCTTAAATAGGGGGATTAGGCCCATTCATTTGGAGAGAGATTATTGACATGGGTCATTTGCTGCTATTTTTCTAAGAGTATTGAAGTCACTTTTGCCATTCAACATTTTTTTTAAAGGAGGTCTTTCTTTGCAGAACTGGTTGGCATGCAATAAATGCCTTCATCTGTTGTTTTCTAAGAATGTTTTAGCTCTGCCTCTAATTTGAGTACTTGCAGAATAGAGGACTGTTGGTTCTTTTCATTCAATACTTGAACATATTGTTTTATTCACTTCTTGCTTATAGA